TATATATATAATCAGTTAATCTGCCTACAACGGTTTCCAAATTACACCGAGTTATTCCGTATGCCACGTCGTGCATCTTCTTCCAGCTTTCTTCTAGTTTTACTTCATCCATATTCTTAGTAGGTCCGGATAGTATCACAGGCAGCAATGTGATTTGTGAAGTATCTTTCAACTCCCGTTTATGCTGCAATCAGAGAATTGGTCTGCTAGTTTCAGGCCCTTCAATCAGCGGTTTTCAATGCTTCTCAATGAATGTGAAAACTTTCCGAGGTGAAATTTTTCATTGAATTCCTTGGATAACATAATGGGATCTCCTGTAGAAACCACTAAGTAGAAACGTTCAATTAGACGTTCTAGAGGCTCTTCATTCTAAGTTCCTTTTTATGGCTGCTATGAAGTTATTTCAGCACATCAGTGACGAAGTTTTGGTAGAAATAACTAATAACGGTTTTCCACAATCAATCAACTGGTTATTTGGCGGCAGTATTCTTTTGTTAACAGCAGCATACTTGATACTTCTTGCTATTTGAGTCGATTTAAGTAGTTAATTGATTCAATTGCATCTATTGTGTATACTTTCTATTCTTCGGAGTCAGTCAGTAGAGTTTTTGACTGTTTTGAACTCGAATGATGCTAAGAGAATTTGGTGTTTTTCAAAGGATTTGTTGCATCTCGGTATCTCTATCTATCTGTTTTTGGTCAATCAACTCGTTGGGTGAGTGAGCAAGTTGTATCAGATCAGCTCCAAACTTCTGCAAATTCTCCCTGAACATCTGGTGACGGCCCAATAATTGAGTTTAGTAAACCAGTTTCAGATATTGTTCTTCATATCATTCCAGTTAAAACGAGCGGCCCTGAATGAATCATTTAATATTGATACTGTACAAAAATAGTGAAATACGTCTTGTGTCTAATTTCTTTCGACTTAGAACTAACACAGTTTGAGGCGAGATTTGTATGGTGAATTTCAGGTGTCAAAAATGGAAAAGGATTGTTTTTGTCAACCACTCAAAAAAGCTAAGTATCAATATTTGATTTTTTCAATTGATTTTTTCAATTTGTAGGCAAAATTTATGAATACAAATTACTGACTAATTACTTTCTATTAGTTTATATTACGCAGAAACTATTTGGAGTGAACTTTTCAGTTTGCCCTTTACTACACTTCAGTAGATTCTCTATTGATTTAACTTTTATTTTTTCATATTGTGGAAGGGTAAAAACCCCAAGAAAACAGCATAAAATAATAAACGGAATAATAACTCAAGTTTGACAGTCGAAATCGGAGACGTTCTTCTATTTGTACCTGATTTTCCAGATTTAATTTTCCATAATATACTGTCCATGTTTTTAACATGGACAGTATATTATTTATGTTTCGAAATTTTCCAGGAATCCACATCGGACATCTCGGATCTTTTACATATATTCTAGTTACGTTTGGATGTTCTAGAATGTTCTAAAATTTCAGAAATTTGGGGAAAGTAGGTGTATGGAGCTTCACGATTAACCCAACCCAACTGAAAGTATTTTGTATTGCCAATACCAGAAAAAATAACTGTGATAATCTAGTAATGGGCAAACCTATACATACTCGTATATAGCTGGAATATACTTACGTTCCTTCTACGATAACGGCAACTCCAGCGGGTTGCACGGCTTTGGTAACAGCTACTGCAATCTGTTTGGTGAGCCTTTCTTGCACCTGTAACCTTCTGGAGTAGATCTCCACTATCCTTGCTAACTTGCTTAGACCCAAAATTTTGCCGCAGGGTAGATACCCAATGGAAACTTTTCCGTAGAAGGGGACCAAATGGTGTTCGCACATGGAGAACATTTCAATGTCCTTTACCACTACCATTTCGTCATGATCTTCGTCGAAAATGGCGTCATTGAGGACTTCTGAAAAAATAAAATACTTTCATGAGCTACACTCTACTTCAATGTTGCTCATAGCAAGAAATAGATCTTGTAAATTATTTATTGGCTATCCGAAACGGTTTCGTACGGGTGGCAGAAAATATACATATGCCTACATTTTCATTTGTCATAGAGTTACATCAGTTTTCTATGAAGGTTCCGATTTTTATCCGAATAGCTACTTTTGAAGATATGAAGGTGGTAGTTTCGCTTTCCAGAAAGCTCTAAAACAGTCCAAAATATTTTAGAGTATTTGAAAACATTCCACAACATTCCAGGAGATCCAGAAACATTGTGGAATAGTTAGGAACGCTCAGGAAAATCTCGGAACATTCCAGATTATTGTGGAACAATCAAGGGAAGTATACGATGTGGTAGATCTCTATTCCCAATCCATGAAAAATGTTTCTGTTTGTACCTGAAACGTGTGCTTTTGGAGAACATTACCTGAAAGTAGGGATTTTAAAGATATAAGGGCTGGAAATTTCGCCCTCTAGAAAGTTCTGGAATAGACGAGAACATTCGAGAGAGTTTCTTCACACTCCAGAACATACTCGAATATTCTGGAATTTTTTGATATGTTCGAAAATAGTCTAGACCGTTTGAGAACATCCTGGAATATCCCAGGTCATTGGGATTTAAAATATGTGATAAAAAGTACGCATTTTGAGAAGCCAGATGATCGAAAGATGCAATTCAACACCTTACTTCAAGAATATGTAAATGACAAAATCCTTCAATATGCATCTTCGTTCATTTGACTGGAGCATGTGGATCATGTGGATCTTCTTAGTGCATTGGAACAAATTGTTTTGATTTGTGTCAACAACATACTGTGAAATATCACAGTATGTTGAAGTTAATAGTGAATTCAGCAATCCTAAAAAGGGGTCTGTTTTGTTTCATATCCATATCAATGAATTATTCAACTTGCCTTCTGAAGAAGGCAAGTTACGGCACCCTTCTATGTCGATAACTCGTGAGAATCACGAAACAATAAATATTTTTTTAGCAGTAGGTTACCTACTCACCGTTAATGAATCTAAAACTTTTATACCTTCTACTAGCTATAGTAATAGATTACCTAACTTTGTGAACTTAAATATAATTGAATCTAACATTACTATGGAAATAACCGCAAAGTATTAAATAAAATATCTGGGAATATATAAAGACTGTCACGTGAAATGGAATGTGCAAAAAAGAGTATATACCTTTATATTTCTATACAAATGTTAGGAGATGAGATCAATAAACTATATTATTATTATATTATTATTGTAGACCTCTTCTCCGTACTAGTTCTTTTCTCATATTTTCCAATATTCCGTATTATCTTCAGAATAACAAACTCATCTTGTAACTATAACTACTATGACTATGTCGTCATTATCTGAATGATATTTTTTGAAGAAAAGCTTTTGGCTTTCACTTCTCCATCTTTATACAAAAATAGTGAAGAGTTTATCTTAAACTTAATTGCTTTCTTATTTCCATCGGTAGTTTATCACTATAACGCTGTAGAAGTAAGAGGCATAAATGTTTTTTCCCCCAAAATGATCTCTCCTGAAAATATACCCCTTTCAATTTAAACAAAATTCCTATAGCTGGGATCAAATCAAATAAACGTGCTGTCATTGTGACATGAGTAGATTTGTGTCATTGTGACATAAAGTCGTAAAGTTATGAATGAAATGTGAGCTACATTTTGTAATATTATCCAGAACGGTGATGAGGTATTAAAAGGCAAGTATCTTATTATGAAACTTTCAAGTCTGCCATTGAGTATGATAATGTTACATGAAAATAAAATTTTATCTCTTTAGTATACTATATTGTGTAGTATTTCTGTGAATGATATCGGATTCAAGTCCATAACGAATCTTTAGAGTACTACAAACTGAATAGGAAAATATAATTTTCGTATAATTTGATATTCATATGAAAGTAGTATTTTTTCCTTTCATGTAATTCAATTTTCATGTGAATATAGTTGTTTCGGAAGGGCTTTATTCTTTCAGTTTGCATCTGAAAGTAACTTCTATGCAAGATTTATACATCTCTGTAAATTTATTTGAAGGTAATTGACAATATTTTATGATGAATTTCATTAGTTCGGACTTCCATTGTCTGATATTATATAAAATGATTTGAAATCCCTGAAATAACTAAAAAAGAAGAAAAAATACAAGTAAAATTGAACAATTCGAACAAACAAATTAATTCACGACGTTTCGATTGTTACTATCCACGTCTTCGAGTGAGTTAACTTGGCTTGGAATCTCTTAACTTTTTTTGCTTTGCTTAATATAATTGTTTTTTTTCAGCTATTCATTTTTTATTCTTCTTCTTTAATTTTTAATTCTTCTTTTTTAGTTATTTCAGGGATTTCAAATCATTTTATATAATATTAGACAATGGAAGTCCGAACTAATGAAATTCATCTTTGTAAATATTTTATTTTGAATTTAATTTCTTTCTTTCTACAATTTTCCCTTTTTTACCAAAAATATATACCTTTCAATTTAAAGTAACCGATATATTTCATAAGTAGGTATTCATGCCTGCCTGTTTATAAATAAATAAATTATGCAGATCCTATTAGCAAAATATTGAATTTTTTTATTTAGCCAATCAAATATATTATGGGATTCCAGTTAAACATTTATAGAAAATGAGTACCCACCCCTTACCCCTTAGTTTTTTTCGTTATCGAAATTGTACTTTATCCAACTCGAAAATTTGCCGCTCTCCTGTAATGGAGACGGCAATTCATCCCGACCCTAAGGAAAAGCTTTCATTCTCTTGAGAGTCTCTAGATCTCAAGGAGCTTTATGCTTTTAAGCTGCGGAAACTAAGCATTCCGAGACGATGAATTTCAGCACGCCTGCTTCTGACCGAGGCTATTCTTTTGAACTTGTCAAGCATTTTAAAGTTAAATACGATTCAAATGTCAAGAAATCTCGCTATAACTGGAGAGGTGTATTACGACAGAGCGGATTGAAGTAATGGCAAAGGGAAGGGGGTGCGAATTCAAGAAGGTCCAGGGCGAATGTTGTATAGACATTACGTTTTAGGTTAATTTTTATACAGTTCATATATAAATTTCGTTGCGAGGTTTTCTTTTTCTCTTTTATTCAATAGGTTCTCCAAACATTCTCCATGATATTTTCCTGTCCTATCGCTCTAAATATTCTCCATCGGAATTTTTCAATACCCACGTATCGTTTGCACACATAACTGTTGCTCTGATAAATATTCTATAGATTATTTCTTTTGATTTTTGCTGTGACGAATTTGGATTGCATTAGCGTTGTCAACATTCTAGATTTTTGATTTCACTCACTTGCTCTTGTTTTCATTTCTCATTGGTTTAGCCTATTATCAGTTATTTACTTCCTATGAACCTGAATTCATGTTATAACAAGTAACCAGAGTACCTAAATTATGAGCTGAAATCTAAAGAAAAAAAAACAATTTTCTAGCTAGCAGCTACTGCTACTCCTTGAGGAGTGTCTTGTGAAGCAAGAATAACATTGCTCTTTGAATTTTCAGTTGATTTCAAGAATACTAGATAGTTCCGGACTGAGTATACAGCATTCAGTAAAAGGTAGAATTGGTGATATACGGTCAACTGATTACAGGATGTATCGAGGAATCTAATTCATCCCTTAATCGGAAGAAACTAACATTTTTGACATTTTTTCAAGTTACTTTGTGGAACAATTTAAGCTACTTTCATAATTGTATATTTTTTATATTACACTGGACCATTCAGCTATCATTGCTCTAAACATCGACCGCATCCAGATCAAGCCCAACAAACTCGGCTTTGACACAAAAATTCGCAAACATGTATGAATTAGTATTTGAAAGAAATCTCTCAAACAAAAGTATGCGGAAACTTACTTTTAATGGAAATTTCAAGCATTTTTATTGGTTTTTGTGAGAGAAGTCTACATTCACTGCTTTTCCAAAAAAAAATAAGGCCATGGCATCGGTTTTTTGGGATGCGCGTGGGATAATTTTCATTGAATATCCAAAAAAAGGCGAAACTATCAACGGCGAGTATTATATGAACTTACTGCAATAGTGTTAAATGTACATACTTTTAGTAAAATTAAGTGGTAAGGGTCATTCGATCCGGAATATTGTCTAGATCATTGTACAAAAAAAGTAAATTAGTTCATAAAAAATTCTAAAAGTTATAAACAATTAAAGACTCTAAAAAGCAGTGTTCGGTTTTGTTGATTATAGTTCGTAAACTATTATTATTTTTGAATTTTGAAAAAAAGATCCTTGAAGACGAGAAAATGTACTAAAAAAAAGTTTCGACTCCCGAAACGGTATCTCCATTATTTATAATTTTAATTTAACGCTGAAAATAGCCGTCCGCGCGCCATTTTTAGGTTAGCTAAGAAAATAGTGGTGTTTCATCAAGACAATGTACCAACTCACAAATCCATTATCGCAATGACCAATATTAACGAATTAAAGTTTAGATGGATACCTCATGCTCCTTTTCGCCAGATTTAGCACTCGCGGATTGTTTTCTGTTTTCAAACTTGAAAAAATGGCTCAATGGTCAAAGATTTTCCAACGATGAAGAAGTGTTTTAGGTAGTTAATGACTATTTTGAGGAACAAGACAGTCGTTAAACTGTCTTAATATACTTAATAATAATATTATTAATAATAATAAAATACCTAATAAACGTTGCTGGGAAAAATGTATGAAGCTGCAAGGAGATTATGTTAAAAAATAAACACATTTTTTCCCAAAATTTTTGTGTTTTCTTGGTTGGGCCGGGTATTTCTGGGACCACCCTTGTATTGTGTAGGAATCCTGTGAATGATATCTGATTCAATTCCATAAGGAATGTTTCGAATTCAAACTTAATGAAGAAAAGTGTTTTTTGTATAACTTAGTATTCATATTAAAGTATATGTTTCGAAAGTATGTTTCCTTCGTGTAATTCAATG